GGGGGGGGGGGGGGAGAAGCTCTTGACCTAGGCTGACATTACCCGAGTCCATAATTGCACTTCCTTCTAATCATCATGTGCGTGGGTAAAGTTCGAAGTATCTGCTGGCTGGAAGTAAGTCAATTGGTTGCTCGAGGCCCTCGACATTTCAGCTGTTACACACCCGTCTTCCTCGTGATGCTATTTGCAAATATAATCGCAACTTCCACGAATTCTCTGACACTTAAAGCTACATTGTTGGTAGAAAATCAAGCTCTCCCGGGCGACCGAAATGGTTTTCGAGATACTAAATCTAACCGAGAAGCTCGTCGAAGATTCTCCTTTTTCATTGCACGACCATTTTCTACCTCGTCGTCGTAAGAGCCCCTGTAAAGGGCGGCCTAAAGTGTGGAAATCGCGCGGCCTTCGGCAGCTAATCGAGCTCGATCGCCGACGATCGTTACAACGACAGCGGCTAAAAGACCGGCGGACCCGTTGTCTTCACAGCGAACGACATTCCGATCGGCTGTCACTGGCATCATTTCAACATACCGTCAGCGAACTTTGGTCATTGCGGTCGTAAAGCTACCTCTACCAGGTGCATTGCCCTCTTGTCTGTTTCTGTTAGACAATTTCCAAATCAAGCGTCAATATGCCTGTCATTCGTGGAATGCGTGACGCTTAACCCTTTCATCGCTATATAAAGATTCGAGGCGTTTAAACGGAGAATCTCGCGCGCCGATTTTCGCGGTCCTGCACAGTGGTCCTGTGCAAGCGCGGATCGCGCCGATCACGGATCATTGATCGCGCGATCGTCGCGCGCCGGCTCGATCCCCGAACGCCCGAATCGTCGAAAAGGTTAAACGTTTAAGCGACGAAGCGAGTGAATATCGTACAAAAAATAGTCTTGTACTTTTATTACGCGATCGATTAACGATGTAGAAGTACAAATAAATATGCAGGCTGCGTTCGCACGCGCGGACGGGCGCCGGCGGGGGGAAGCTCTTCGGGGTGCCGCGGATCACCTTCGATTTTCTAACTTTCTGCGTTTAAAATACCGAAGGCGACCTTAGAGGTGTTTCGAGAGAGGCGCGCACAGCAGAAGAGAGTTCTCCGAAGAGGTCCGAACGCTTCGTCGATCTCGTCGGAAGCAATTGTCAACGGTACCGAAACGGTAGCACTTAAGCCGGCTCGCCCTATTCGCGCATCCTGTGCGAACGCAACGCGTGCCTCGATAGCATATACAATGGAAACGATTAAATGTAAATGCGCGTACATTCGTCGAGATTGAATCGATAGAAGAAGAGAAATATAGTAGAGTAAGAGGTAAAACGGCCCGCGAGCGGAAGCTCCGTTGGCCTCCGGCTCGGGCCTTCGCGCAAGAAGATGGCATATTAACACGCTTGCAAAGGACGTACGTTACAATGATTAGTGCTCCCTAGCCGTTGTTACATGACATGTAAGAAAAAATAGTGCCATCCCCTGGTATAACTTATCCGTCTAAAAGATAGGTGCACGGCGTTACCAGTGTGCATGTAATATCGCGATAGAATAGAAGACATGTAATTATTGGTGAGACAGCGGAGGCGTGCCGCGAGGGACACGCGTTCGATACGGGACCCTTGCTGATAGCCGGACAAAGCGGCCGCGAGTCCCTCGACATCGTCAACGCGCCCGACAGCGGTTGGAAAGAAGGAACAAGTCGCCGTTTTGGGGCCCGGCGACCATGACTCAGGGCGCATCGATCGTGCTCCGCGCTCTAGCCGGCGCGCGGCGCCGTTTATCCTCTCTATCAGCCTGGTTCCCCTAAAACTCTCGTCACGGTTCAGTCACCTCTCGCGGCCGCGAACGGGAAAAGGGAACCGCGCCGGTGTGCCTCGCGACACGCGGCCGCCACCCTGTCGACGAGTCGTGTATGTGTGTGTGTGTGTACTCTACTTGTACGTAACAGACTAACAGCAGCATGAACGTGAAGTAGCGTGGACTTGTAACAGGCACTGTGCTTTTAGGCTAGCGGGCCGAGACGAATTCCGTCGGGGGGCTGCGATACTTGGCGCGAATGGGAAGAAAGTTGGCGGTGTGCTTGTTGCCGTGGGGTGAAGGCGGCGTGCTCTCGCGGTTGAGGGTCCTCACCTGACAGGGATCATGCCTCGCCAAGAAATGCTCCAAGGTGTCCCAGCCGCCGCCCACTCGGACCATCATGTGTCTACCCTTCAGCAGCTGCGAACAACAGGCGGCACACAGGGGTCATCATTAGCAGTTCCTACTCGGACGAGCTGGATTTCAGTTCTAAGAGGATTCGCCGGAGCGCCCCGATGCGCGGCGGCGCGTTGTTAACCTTTTAGGCACGACGCGCCACTATAGTGGCTTCCGCGGATGTCATCTTTCAGAACGACACACGCCACTATAGTGACTTCCGCGGATGTCGTCTCTCTGGACGACGCGCCGCTATAGTGGCTTGCTCTAGTAGCTCACTCGCTCATCGTTTGAACCAAATAATCGTCTTCGTATGCATTGTTTCACACTTCTTTTGTCTTCGCATCGATTTACAACAGTCCACAGGGTGTCCCAAAAATGTCTCGCAATCCGGAAATGGCGGGTTCCTCGGATCATTTGAAGCAACTTCTTCCTTTACAAAAATGTTCTCCGAGGCACCGTTAACGAGTTATTAACGAAAAACAGTGACCAATGAGCTGTCTCTTATACACATCTAGATGTGTATAAGAGACAGGTACTGTACAGAGTCTGATACTGTATATTCTGTCTGTATATACAGGGTGTCCCAAAAATGTCTCGCAATCCGGAAATGGCGGGTTCCTCGGATCATTTGAAGCAACTTCTTCCTTTACAAAAATGTTCTCCGAGGCACCGTTAACGAGTTATTAACGAAAAACAGTGACCAATGAGCTGTCTCTTATACACATCTAGATGTGTATAAGAGACAGGTACTGTACAGAGTCTGATACTGTATATTCTGTCTGTATATACAGGGTGTCCCAAAAATGTCTCGCAATCCGGAAATGGCGGGTTCCTCGGATCATTTGAAGCAACTTCTTCCTTTACAAAAATGTTCTCCGAGGCACCGTTAACGAGTTATTAACGAAAAACAGTGACCAATGAGCTGTCTCTTATACACATCTAGATGTGTATAAGAGACAGGTACTGTACAGAGTCTGATACTGTATATTCTGTCTGTATATACAGGGTGTCCCAAAAATGTCTCGCAATCCGGAAATGGCGGGTTCCTCGGATCATTTGAAGCAACTTCTTCCTTTACAAAAATGTTCTCCGAGGCACCGTTAACGAGTTATTAACGAAAAACAGTGACCAATGAGCTGTCTCTTATACACATCTAGATGTGTATAAGAGACAGGTACTGTACAGAGTCTGATACTGTATATTCTGTCTGTATATACAGGGTGTCCCAAAAATGTCTCGCAATCCGGAAATGGCGGGTTCCTCGGATCATTTGAAGCAACTTCTTCCTTTACAAAAATGTTCTCCGAGGCACCGTTAACGAGTTATTAACGAAAAACAGTGACCAATGAGCTGTCTCTTATACACATCTAGATGTGTATAAGAGACAGGTACAGATCAGACTCTGCCGTCCAAAGAAATAGCCTCGCGCAGAATTCAGCCGTACCTAAAAGGTTAACGGCGAGAGACGCGCGCCGTATTCTCGGGTGCATGTACCATGAGTTCGGTGGACTACTTACAGCGAGTTCTCCCTAATTGACGATCAATTTGGAAAGAAAAATGGACAATTTGGGAAGAGGAGGTGGTACGATTTATATTATAATTATATTAGGATATTAAGATAATTTGGGAAAAGAAGATACGACTATTCGAGTCTCGCGACTCTTTTTTATAATTGTCAACAATCGGCGACCAAAAAAACGAGCCGCGAGATTTGTACTATAATTATATTTAGAATATTAGGATAATCATTTAATTATATTAAGATATTAAGATTAAACTAATTATTCAGCGACTATATCTCCTCTTCCCAAATTATCCATTTCCGTGTACAAGCTGACGGACAATTGGAGAGAACTTACTGTACACCAATATTCCTAAATTTCGGTTTCTATAAGAATTATGAAGGAATAATAACCGAAAATATTTGCAAATGAATGTAATTTCCATTTTGGTACGAATCCCTGAGTATCAGACCGAATCCTCTCAACCCTGGCAAACTTCATCGCATCGATCAAAATCGTAACTGACCCTGATGAAGACGTTCCGTCCGGCGATATGGTATCGGCCTTCGCCAACTTTGCGCACCTTCAGCTTCGAGCACTTCTCCGAGGGACACTGGCAGAGTCTCTGAACGGCCTCCGTTGCCCGTCTCACCTGAAAACAAAGAATACGGTGCCTGCAGAAGCAACGGTGACGACGTATTTTTAACGTGGAGAGACAGTGGGACGGTCCCCGTTGGACGAAGAACGATCGACTGTCGGACGATACGAATCGGCGATGGTCGCGGGGAAAGTCGCGGACGCGGTGCCGCGCGTAACAAACGCTTTTCGCTTTGCGTGCGCGGGAATTCGTCGACACGCGGGAATATCTACGTGCGTGCAAACGCATACGTGAAAAAGCTTAAAGGGAGCCGTTTACTTCCATTGTTCCGTTCTTCCTCTCTGCCTTGCTCACGCCATTCATAGCGAACGTGACGCGATGCGAGCTCACCGTGGAGTCCTGCCTCTATACCGCTTCTCAGTCGTGTTACGGTAAAAACGCTTCGACTCGACGTAAGAACATTTACGCGATAAGAAATGTTCGTTGGAAAGAAAACGGCGCGGACAGGTAATTATTGGGTTGGCAACTAAGTAATTGCCGATTTCAGTTATAGATGTCTCTCACTCCCATTTTTATGATATCCGTAAATGTTATATTATTAAATTATTATTATTATTATTATTATTATTATTATTATTATTATTATTATTATGTTATTTTTTATTATCCGTGAATGTTAGCAACTGGACAAATTGAATGCAGCGGTCAAGGAAAAGCGACCAGAACTGGTCAATCGTAAAGGTGTCATTTTCCACCAGGACAATGCTAATTATAGCAGTCATTATAGCAGTCATTTTCCACCAGGACAATATTAATTAACGTAACGTAAGACGAGACAAGACAAATGAATATTTATTGCCGTCGAAAGTATTCATTGAAAAATATCGAACGTACGTTTATAACGCACGAAGACGTTTCGATGCGCGTCGGTGGCAAGGAAACATTATCTTCATGAATATGGAATATGCTGATAAGAGGAGCGCATAAACTTTGAACAACCTAGGAAGATATTATTGTGAAATAGTCGTTCGTTCATTTTTCCCACGTGCAACGTGCCTGGAAAGGCACAGAACAACTGGAAAGGCCTGGACAACTGTTATACCTGGACTGCAGACTTTTACGCAAATTGTAATTGCCTATGTACTGTTTAATGCGATTAACAAACGTCTGTTTTCTGTGCCAAACGTCGATACTAAACATCGATATATCGCATATGCAGGGTGTCCTAAAATTATTGTATTTCCCGGCACTGAGGGATTCACGAGATCATTTGAAGTAACTTTTTCCTTAGCGAAAATGCGATCCGCGGCTTCGTTTACGAGTTATTAACAGAAAAACAGTGACCAATGAGAGGCGGGATCAGCTGGCGCGTGGCGGCCGAGCCAATGAACGGAACTGGGCTCCGCGCGCTCGTTGGCTCGGCCGCCTCGCGCTAGCCGAGCTCACTTCTCATTGGTCGGTGTTTTTCGTTGATAACTCGTTAACGACGCATCGGAGAACATTTTTGCAAAGGAGAAAGTTGCTTCGAATGATCTCAGGAACCCCACATTTCCCGGAAATACCATAATTTTAGGACATCCTGTATATAATATGTAATACATATTTTCAAATAAGACCGTGAAAACTTGGAATCTAATTATGACGATGAAAATGAAGTATTCCGACCTTGCGACATGAATCGCAAACCAAGGTGTCAAATATCGAACATTCGATAGAATTATTTTGAAACCATTATTGATTAATTATTCTTATATTTACTGTCGTAAATTCCCCCTAATTTTCCTTCAGTCTATAAACAAAAATGGGGAATTTGGAAACAGCGATTACAAATTGAAGGAAAATCGCGGAGAATTTACTGTATTTCCGAATTGAGAGAAGATCGCTTGACGCTGCGAGAATTGCGAATTGCGAGGAGGGGCGGAGGGGACTGGTTAATGGACACTTTGACAGGCAGATTAGTTTCTGGTACCAGCTGTTTTACCTTGCGATCGAGTTCCGTTATGGGCCCGGTGTGTTCCGGCGGCTCGGCTGGCGAGGGCAAAGGTGAACTCGACGGTGATGGAACCTCGTCCGGGTCTTCGGCGCTTCCACGCGACCAATCGTCTTCCGTGGTATCGCTGGGCACGCCATCGCTGCCCTGTGGTCCATTATCGCTAACCGACCGCCGCATCTCGGGCTCGTGGGTGGCACCCGTCGTTGTGTCCAGCCATCTTGTCGCTGACGAGGTCACCTCCGACGCCGAGCTACAAGATCGCGAGAGAAAAGCTTAGTTCGAAGGAATATCGTGCGACGCTTTTTACCGTTTTCGTACCATTCGATCGTAAACTGGGATCGAAATATTTCTGAATCGTTTCGGTAAGTTACCACGATTGCTACGATTTATTTCGAGTGTACGGCGCCCAGCACGCACTTCTTTGTTCACAATAATTTTTGATAATTGAATGAAAGAATTTTTGTCACTTGTATGTCCCCATTTACTTTCATTCTTGGATGTTCATGACGAAGAAATCAAATTTTCTATCGATTTGGAGCAAATAAGTGACATTCGTTTTAAGTGTTGTGACTCATTGTAAGTATTAAGTACGGTGTAATCGTCCACGCGAACGGACTTGTTATACAATTTCAGCCTAATCTACACTGTTCTAAAGTAGACACTTCCAGCTTTCATTTAAGCTAAATTGCATAGAAATGGCTCTGCGGGAACGTATCTTGAAGACCATCTGAACTTTTCCTTTTAAATCTTGTAAACCCCATGATGTTAGAAGTCGATTCCTTTTAATTCTTTAAAATGATCTCGTCCTTTTAGTGTAATCTAATCTACCCTACTCTAAAGTAGACACTTCCAGCTTTCATTTAAGCTAAATTACATAGAAATGGCTATGCGGGGACGTATCTTGAAGACCATCTGAACTTTTCCTTTTAAATCTTGTAAGTCACATGATGTTAGAAGTCAATTCCTTAAAGTTCTTCAAAATGATCTCATCGTGTCATTAAAATCTAATCTACCCTACTCTAAAGTAGACACTTCCAGCTTTCATTTAAGCTAAATTGCATAGAAATGGCTCTGCGGGAACGTATCTTGAAGACCATCTGAACTTTTCCTTTTAAATCTTGTAAACCCCATGATGTTAGAAGTCGATTCCTTTTAATTCTTTAAAATGATCTCGTCCTTTTAGTGTAATCTAATCTACCCTACTCTAAAGTAGACACTTCCAGCTTTCATTTAAGCTAAATTACATAGAAATGGCTATGCGGGGACGTATCTTGAAGACCATCTGAACTTTTCCTTTTAAATCTTGTAAGTCACATGATGTTAGAAGTCAATTCCTTAAAGTTCTTCAAAATGATCTCATCGTGTCATTAAAATCTAATCTACCCTACTCTAAAGTAGACACTTCCAGCTTTCATTTAAGCTAAATTGCATAGAAATATCTCTACGGAAACATATCTTGAAGTCCATCTGAACTTTTCCTTTTAAATCTTGTAAGCCACACGATGTTAGAAGTCAATTTCTTAAAGTTCTTCAAAATGATCTCATCGTGTCATTAAAATCTAATCTACCCTACTCTAAAGTAGACACTTCCAGCTTTCATTTAAGCTAAATTACATAGAAATGGCTCTGCGGGAACGTATCTTGAAGTCCATCTGAACTTTTCCGTTTAAACCTTGTAAACCCCATGATGTTAGAAGTTGATTCCTTTTAATTCTTCAAAATGATCTCATCGTGTCATTAAAATCTAATCTACCCTACTCTATAAAGTAGACACTTCCAGCTTTCATTTAAGCTAAATTGCATAGAAATAGCTCTACGGAAACATATCTTGAAGTCCATCTGAACTTTTCCTTTTAAATCTTGTAAGCCACACGATGTTAGAAGTCAATTTCTTAAAGTTCTTCAAAATGATCTCATCGTGTCATTAAAATCTAATCTACCCTACTCTAAAGTAGACACTTCCAGCTTTCATTTAAGCTAAATTACATAGAAATGGCTCTGCGGGAACGTATCTTGAAGTCCATCTGAACTTTTCCGTTTAAACCTTGTAAACCCCATGATGTTAGAAGTTGATTCCTTTTAATTCTTCAAAATGATCTCATCGTGTCATTAAAATCTAATCTACCCTACTCTATAAAGTAGACACTTCCAGCTTTCATTTAAGCTAAATTGCATAGAAACAGCCCCGCGAGAACATATCTCAAAATCCATTCAAACTACCGCTTCGAATTCCCGTAATTTTCCTTGTCTATTCCCGGATGTCAGAGGTCCGCAAATTTATTATGCAGCCTAACAAATCATGTATAAAATCTTCATCGCGTGTCTAGCTCGTTGCTATTGAAATTGCATAAAACGATCAAGCTTGAACGAACGGAACAAGAAAGATGGTCGACAAACGATGCTTGAAAGCAAGAATATTATGGAAGCTTTCTGAATCGTGAACGAGGTTTCTGTTTGCTTCGTAAGAACGCCACTCTGAGAGCAACGTTTCTTCCTATATAAAAGTTTCCAAAGAACAAGCACGTACTCATTTTCTTAAACGATGCATTCGAGTGCGAGCCCGCTTCGATCCCCGGCATCGTAACGCGTTTGCACAATTACTGGCCGCAGCTACGGCGGGATTAAGAGCGCACACGGGAGGCTTTTGATTTCACTGTTTTGATTGAAGGTTCCGGCGCACGCGCCAGTAACACGATACAGTAATTCGCCTGTGATTCTTCGGTGAAAAAAGCATCTCGGAACTGTTTTTGCGACAACGGTAGTTGAGGGGGAGAGAAAGAGAGAGCGCGAGAGAGAGAGGGCGAGAGAGAAGAGCGCGAGAGAAAAGAGCACGAGAGAGAGAGAAAAGCGCGAGAGAGAAGAGCGCGAGAGAGAAGAGCGCGAGAGAGAGAGCGCGAGAGAGAGAGCGCGCGAGAAAAAAGAACGCGAGAGAGAGAGAGAGACGTGCCTCCGCGCACTTTCTGTTGCTTATCATAATTACGCCGCGGCGTATCTGCCACGGGTTTGCCGTAAATACCGTAAGGTTTACACGCCATGAAACACCGCCACTCCTACGGCATTGCGTTACGGTCGAGGTAAGTGTGCGCTGTCTTTCTTAGAATGCAACGCCTCGCAGATTTACCCATTAGGCGAATCCTTTTTCAGCAAACGCAGAGAGTCTCGTTGAATCGGACTCGGCGTTTTCTTTTCCCTCTCGAGTCGTGTTTCCGTCGGGTCGTAGGTCGTTATCGAGACAGACCGGCGAGCCGAACGTGCGCGGTTTTACGGCCCAACACTTACGGTGCAATTATCGCCGTAAAAAATGAGTCACTTGTTTCTAATTTTAGTGATCCAACATTCCGTGAAATGTCGTTCAGAGCCTTCGAAATGAACCGAGTAAACTAACGACCGAAGTAAATCGGTGACTGAATGATGCTACTCATTTGTTAATTATTTATTTATTATTTGTATATTTATTCATTTATTATTTGGATGTTTATTTATTTATTTATTATTTACATATGTATATTTATTTATTTATTTATTATACATATTTATTATCTAATTATTTATTAATTTATCGTGCAGATCCGCGTAAAATTTCGTGCATAGTTCCCAGCAACATTGAAAATATTGAGCATAGCTCAACGTTCACAGCCTAATTGGGTATTGCTCGAATAAACATTTATCCAAGATAATTGTCCGAACGAACACTTTTTAGTCGAACATTTCATCCTTCGAATTTATTTGAAGCTAAATCGTTTGTTTCGCATGGATTTCAAGCTAAATCGTTTGTTTCGCATGGATTTGAAGCAAAATTTTCTATTTCGCATGGATTTGAAGCGAAATCTTCTATTTCGCGTGGATTTCAAGCTAAATCGTTTGTTTCGCATGGATTTCAAGCTAAATCGTTTGTTTCGCATGGATTTGAAGCAAAATTTTCTATTTCGCATGGATTTGAAGCGAAATCTTCTATTTCGCGTGGATTTCAAGCTAAATCGTTTGTTTCGCATGGATTTCAAGCTAAATCGTTTGTTTCGCGTGGATTTCAAGCAAAATCTTCTATTTCGCATGTATTTGAAGCTAAATTTGAAGAAACGATTCCATCTATTCGAACGAATTGCTCGACTAAAACCTTGACCAAAGACTTCGACAACTTCCGACTACAGTAATGTCTCCCTAATCGACGCTCAGATTGTCCACAAAAATGGACAATTTGGAAAGAAGAGATACGACTATTCGAGGCCTTGCAGTTTGTCTTTACAGTTACGAATTGTCAACAATTACAAAAACGAGCCGAAAGGCTCGAATAATCATCGCAACTCCTCTTCCCAAATTGTCCATTTTAGTGGATGTACAGTAATGTCTCCCTTACTGACGCTCAGATTGTGCAGAAAAATGGACAATTTGGTAAGAGAAGATGCAATTTTTAGAGCATTGCACCTCGTTTATTACAGTTACCGATAGTCGACAGTCAAAAAACGAATCGCAAGCCTCGAATAATCGCAACTCCTCTTCCCAAATTGTCCATTTTAGTGGACAATCAGAACGTCAGTATGGGAGACATTTTTGTACAGTAATGTCTCCCTTACTGACGCTCAGGTTGTGCAGAAAAATGGACAATTTGGTAATAGAAGATGCAATTTTTAGAGCATTGCACCTCGTTTATTACAGTTGCCGATTGTCGACAGTCAAAAAACGAGCCGCAAGCCTCGAATAATCGTATCTCCTCTTCCCAAATTATCCGTTTCAGCGGACAATCAGAGCGTCAGTAAGGGAGACATTACCGTACCTCTACGTCATAGAAATGTCCCTTCGACTCGAACGTGTTTGAGCTATCCGTTGAAACAATTAACCGTCCGTTGTTCTATCTGGCTCTCGCAGAGACCGGCCGGAACTGAGATCGAGCCGTGGCGAGCGATTCGATAGAGGCCACAGACGGAATAGCGATCGAGCGTCGATCGTTTCGACTCGCCGAGGAGGCCGTGACGAGAAAAGCAATACCGTTCGAGGAGCGATAGACGGTATCGTAGACTCTCTACCTGCTGTGTTTTATCTTCTCGGCTGGTGGTCTCGGCGTCGCGGTCGGGGACGGTGATTGGAATTGCCAAGAGACGAGGCTGCTGTGAGATATACCGCTATCGGACAAACAGTGAAGATCCCTCTCTTGTTCAGCGGCGATTTCCCTCTCGAGCTGCACGAGCCCCGGTGGCTCCACGGAGTAGATCGAAGCCAATCGAGCCACCTCCAGCAGGCACAGCACGACGTTCCGTGGCTGGCCGTGGAGAACTGCCAATTATACGTATCGTACTATTAAATAATTGTATATTACGGGGCGTACAGCGTTATTATATGTGCCAGACGGCAATAATGCGCGGACCGTGGAATATCTATGGGAACCGCCTCGCTGTGTCCTTCTCATCCTACAATGACTAAACCTTGCGCATGCATAGTCCGAGCTATTCGTGATCCGCGTCACGAGCCAGATTTTACATCGATTATTGGTTTTACTTATTTGCATTGTATTCACCGTTTTAACGTGAACATACGAGCCGTTTATTTTGAAAGTGGTATAAGTCACTTTTTGTTTTTAAGTCGATATATTAAATGTATAACCCTTAAATTTTAAGGGTTTGCGTTTTAACACGTTTAAGAATATGGATGCTAACTTTCGAGAAGATTTACTTGTATTTGTTATCTCGGGATACTGATATTTCTTTCAGTATAAATAATTTTGTATAAACATTAAAAAAATCACCACTTTTCATTACTTATGCCGCTTTCAAAATAAGCGGCTCATATAACATCCTGGATTTATAACATGGAAACTCTTCGAACTGCGAGGATTCGAATTGAAACGGATTTGATATTACTCGGATTACAGATTTGACACTAATCGTTAGGATTTTATGCATTTATGAGAAAAATGAGTGAAAGGAATATATACGCGGTGTTCCGAAAATGTCTCGCAATCCGAAGATGTGGGTTCCTGAGGTCGTTTGAAGGAACTTTTTCCTTTACAAAAATTTTCTCCGAGGCTTTGTTTACAAGTTATTAACGGAAAACAGTGACCAATAGGAGGCGAGATCGCCTGGCGCGAGGTAGTCGAGCCAATGAGTAGAACCGGGCGTCGTGCGCTAGTTGGCTCGGCCGCCTAGCGCCAGCAGAGCTCGCCTCTCATTGGTCAGTGTTTTTCGTTAATAACTCGTAAACGAAGCCGCGGATCGCATTTTCGCTAAGGAAAAAGTTATATCAAATAACCCGAGGAATCACCTCTTTCCGGGTGTTAATATAATTATGGGACACCCTGTACGACATCCTGCATTTACATATGGATATACTTATAGACAGCAGATTTTATGCATTTATGACAAAAGTGAGTAGAAGGTGAAAAGATCAATGAAATTTAAGTATTTGGACACAGTATTCTCAACCTATTAACATTGTTAGCGGAAGTATGAAGTTTCTATGGAAATGGAACATACATTACAGATTAAACTTCATTCCAAGTAAAAAAAAATTTTTTATTTCATTGAACAAATCGGCAATTACTTAGTTGCCAACCCAATAGCTTTGATAGTTTAGTAAACATTTTTGGGAAAATCTTCTATATATTATAATTATATCTTCTATATAATTAATTTCTAATCATTAAAATAGAGGTTAAGTTCAGAAAATGATTTGACGTCTTCTAGGCTCTAGAGCGGAGAAGATGTTCAACGACTGATCTAAATTCAAACATCGTCTTAAACCTTCTCGCCGTGCATCGGTCGAACAACCGTTGTGCGCTATGTAGGACGCTAATGTTGCGCGTCGGTGCAATAAGAACACGATTAGCTCGAACTTATTCAACTTATTATGCGCTATCATTACATTCTTTCGGTGCCCGTCGGACAAGAAATCCGAAGCGGTTCGACCCGATCTAATGTTCGCTCGGGATAACGATTACGAACGTTAGCACCGTTTCGCGGGGCCCGCGTCAGGGTCCGAGAAGGTTAACGACGTTGCCCTAAGAAGGAACTACATTAGGTTGCTGCGTGTGAAATGTCGGATTTTTAAGCGAACATACAAAACTGCATGTCCTTTTTCAAGAGCTGTTTATTTAATCAAAATATGCTCCATTCGCTTCGATACACTTTGTCCAACGAGATTTTAATGCGCGGGTGCCTGTCTTAAAGAAATTCTGATCTTCAGAATCAATAAACTCTGACATGGAATTTTTCAGACTGTCTTCATTTTCACACTGTTCAGCCCGTAAGAACTGTTCCGAATGTTTAAAAATGTGAAAGTCGGTCGGCGAAAGATCCGGCGAATAAGCTGGCTGCTGCAAAATTTCATATTTCAATTCGTTCAATTTCGCAATTGTTTTGTACGACGTACGCAACCGAGCGTCGTCGTGGAGAAGTATCGGGCCATGCCGATCGACAAGCGACGGCCGTATAATTTTCAATTTTTCGTGCATCTCGTCGATGTACCGGCAGCACTTTTCGGCCGTAATCGTCTCCCCGGTTCGAAGGAACGAGCAGCGAATTACTGCGGTCGCGTTCGTTTCCACCGATGCTTTCGGAGCATCGTTTTTCACAGACGTTTCGGGTCTTCCGCGCGGTTCATTTTGCGGGGAAAAATCAGCGGACCGAAAATTTTCAAACCGACGCTGCACCTTTTCGATCGTTAACAGTATTCTCCCCGAACGCCTGGTTTATATCGCGAGCAGCTTTCGCAGCGTTGTTACCAAGTTTATGCTCGTCTAAAAAAATTACACGAACATCGGTCGAATTCGTATCCTCGCGAAATTCGAAACGAACAACAAAATGGAACACTTTCGAGAAAATCTTCTTCGTCGAGATGCGACTCCGGCAATGGACTGTGCGACTATAAACGAGGTTATGCCAGAAACATCAGCATAACGAAAGCAGGGAGACGAACGTACGCGTGTAAAGAAAATCCGACATTTCGTATGCACCAATCTAATACATTCGATATCATTCCTGCACGAAGTACGAGACTTCGTCGTTCGATTTCCTACGTGTCCTTTTCAAAGCTACAATTACAAAATATCCACACCGCGATATACAGTAAATTCTCCGTAATTTTCATTCGGCTTGTAAACAAGAATAGGCAATTTGGAAAGAGGTGCTACGATTATTCGAGTCTTGGACCTCGTTATTACAATCGTTGACGATCGGCGACCATAAAAATGAGCCTCGAAGGCACGAACAATCGTATCTCCTCTTCCCAAATTGTCCATTTTTGTGGACAATCTGAGCGTCAATTAGAGAGACATTAGTGAACATATAAATTCTAGAATATCTGCTCCATAAGAACACTTTATTTTCAACAGGAATAAATATTCTCTTAATTGAATGATATAAGTACAGTAAATTCTCTAATCTGCGCTCAGATTGCGCACTAAAATGAATAATTTAGGAAGAAGAAATACGATTATATTCGAGCCTAGCAGCTCGTTTTTAGAATCGTTGACGATCGGTAACTATAAAAACGAGCTTCAAGGCTCGAATAATCGCATCTCCTTCTCCCAAATGGTCAATTTTTGTGCAAAATCTGAACGTCGATTACGAAGACTTTACCGTACAATGTTCGCTACATAATCAAAATATAAATAAATAAAATAATAATACAATATCTCCGCAATATTATTCGTTGAATAATAACCAAATAATATTTGCTTTTCGAATAACCGTGCGCCGTCCGCGTTGAAGAGGAACGGACGGAGGGCCGCGGGATGTTCAACCTTGTGATTCCAAGGGTCCGTAGAATCCCGGGGAAACCACGTGGCTCGACCGCGGTTTCCACGTAGTCGTCCTTTTTCCCAGCAGCTTGTCGCGCACACGGCCGCGTATTGTTTTCGATGGCATTCGAAACCGGTCAGCCGGCTGCGAAGAGCCCTCCGCGCCGCGCCGTTTTTCTCCTCCCGCGAGGAACGGCGAGGAGACGCGGCGCGGTTAATTCGAGGCGATTACCCGCGCCTCGGAAACGTTTCGAATTTGCATACTCGCCCGGAACGTTCGGTCGCGGGAACGCGAACGTTCGCGCGTTCTACGATAATTGGTGGGATTTTCGCTTTTCATCGGGCCGCGGGCTCCTCGTCCCGGCGTCCGACGACGGTAACACGCGCGGTGTACGCGGTCGATATACATATTATACATACACGCGGAAATTGGAATTAATTGGCCAGATTTACCGAGATCGTCGCTCTCGAACAAAAGGTTCTCGTGAACGCCCAGACGCCGGCAGAATTGAATGAAATTCTCCATGTTGTCGCGGGAGAAGAAACTCCGTCTCGCTGCGTTCTCCCAGCATCGGCCCCTTATCAACGGTATCGGCTGCAAAATGGTCCATAAAACATTTCGTTATCGATCGTCCGATCGTCGGCGGACTGCATGTTTCTTGTAGCGATGGATCGAATACAGTAATTTCTCCCGGATATGCCAGATCTCGCGTTGCCGTGAATTCCCCCGTGCTAGTCCTGCGCCTATGTCACGAGGTTATGTCAAGGTGTAATTAATTAATTACATCTTGACATAACCGCAATTGCAAGGTGTGATTGAATTGTGTGTCATTTCAAGGTGTAATTCATTACTATGTCGATGCTGTGGCCTTCGAATTGCCTTCGAATCGTGGCAAAAAATTTTAAATAAAAAGGTTAAGTCGTCGTTTTTATTCTAGCGTTACTATGTATTCGTATTAATGTACATTATAATGTACATATATGTACGTATAATGTGCTATAAAAACGGGCCGCAAGGTGAAGAATCGCGACTTAGTACTCTCAGATCTGCCGGTTTCGATTCCGACCTCCGAACATTTTTCTGGGAGAAATTACTGTAATTCCTTGCAAATATAGAATTTATTTTGCGGTTACCAACCCGCTGAAATTATTAAGAAGATGAACACATGTATGAACAGATCTAAGATCCTGTCCTAATTTTTTGATATGGGTATAAAAACATTTGTATACACTGTATACAAGTAAAAGCTAAAAATTTGGGGGGTAAAAATGAAATTAGCTATTATTATTGAATTAACTCCTTCATCTTGCAATTAACATTAGGTTTACGGAACGCGCCGGAGAACGATGTGTACCAAATTTCTTAATTTATAAACATTGAATTGTAAGGATATATTTAAAGGAAATTTATTTATTAATAAACAAGTTATTTATAGTTATTTATAGGAAATTAATTATAAAAAAAATATTGCTTCATTGTGCACGCGATAAAGATCGCTAAAAATCCGAATAAATATATCGTTACATTCACGAAGCAATATAATGCTTCGAAATTCTCGAAACTTCGCACGCAAGATATAACTTTCCGTACGATTCTCCTTTTATGGAACAGAAAAATTGAAGTTCGCACGAAGATTAAGCGTAGACGTTTCTCGTCTATCGTTAGGCTAGACTGTTTATCCGCCGAGATCATAATTACTCACCCCTTTGGCTCTCCCGGCATCGATCGCCACCCTCGCTTTCTCCTGGATGACTCTCGCCAATCGACAGACAACCACCCCATTGTCAAGCGCGTCGAAGAAGTTGTCGCCGGTCACATACTCCGAGTCTGGAACGCAAACAGAATTTCTAATTATTCGTGACAAAAAATTTCGCTATAGCGTCTGTGGTCGGGCGGCTCTCTCTCCTCTCTCTCTCTTTCTCTCTCGTACTCCATCTCCACTCTCTTTACTCTCTCTCTTTCTCTCTCGCACACTTTCTCCTCTCTCTCTCTCGCTCTCCTCTCCCTCTTTCTCCTCTCTCTCGCACTCTTTCTCTCTTACTCGCGCTCTCTCTCTCTCTCTCGCTCTCTCTCTCGCTCTCTATATCTCTCGCGCTCTCTCTCTTTCGCTCTCTATATCTCTCGCTCTCTCTCTCGCTCTCTATATCTCTCGCGCTCTCTCTCTTTCGCTCTCTATATCTCTCGCGCTCTCTGTCTTTCGCTCTCTCTCTCTCTCTCGCGCTCTTCTCTCTCGCTCTCTCACTCTCTCTCTCTCTCTCCCTCTCTCTCTCTCTCCCTCTCTCTCTCTCTCTCTCTCCCTGTCGCCTCTTCCGATCACCGCGTCAACGAACCGTCGCCGCTCGACGTATTGCGTAAACGGTCACTTGAAAGCAGTCAAAGGTATCGACGAAGTGGCGCCATTGTTCGGAACAATGGGGCAACCCTTCTTTGCACCGTTCGCCGCAGTCAAATTCTTCTGGAGCTGGGGTGACTTCCGCTTTGTTACAGAAATTTTCCGCGAACAGTTCTCGGGCTAAGTGGACGCCGGGAGAAATTTAATTACACTCTTTTGTGGCGCTTCGGTTGACGGAACAATACCTTGCCGTAGGTTACAGAGCAGGGTGGCTTTTTTTTTGTCTCGATCACGATGCGGGAAATTTTCCGAAAATTGCGAGACTGCGTGCAAGCGAAGCACACGGTAAATTCCTACAAATTTCACCTCGGCTTGTACACAGAAAGGGATAAATTCGGAAGAGAAGATACAATTATTCGAGCCTCGCGGCCCGATTTTTTTATAGACGTCATTTATCAACAACTATAAAAACGAGCCGCGACGCTCGAACGATCGTATTTCCTCTTCGCAAATTGCCCATTTTTGCCTAGAAGCTGAGGGACGATTTATTTAAGATTTATATTATTTATTCAAGTTTTATTAACCCTTCGCACTCGAAGCCATTTTAACTGTAAATCTAAATTAATTTTTCTGACTTACGATATTTCCATTTTATACGACAAAGTGCACTTTATGCACGCGAAATTTAGTCTTGCGACTCATGCAACAATTAGAATTTTAACAACTATTTTTACATCTAAACTTCTATAATATAAAAATGATCTCGGAACGTGATGTAACAATTTTAATGGTGCCTCAGAGTCACCGTTCGAGCGCAAAGGGTTAAGATATTTTTAGATTCATTGTATATTGTTATTCACCATAACAAAATGTTAACTAAAACAACACAAAATTACGAAATAAAATTACTGTACAAAACGACGCGCCAATTATAATATTCTGCGAAGCAGTTTCTCTTCGTTCCGAAGCAAACATGGACATCGTGCACGTAGTGCATATATTATGCATCTCTATTTTGAATGCAGCGTTCAGCAGAATTCGCCTAATTCTTTCCATTTTCTTCGCTTTTTGCGCGTCGCGTGCCGGCAAATTGCGTTCCGTGCCAAAAAATAACCAACAATTAAATACGAAGATCGCCACAATTTTAAAACATACAAAAATGTTTCCCCTAGTCACAGCAGGGTTAAACGTTCTTCTGTGTAAAACTCAGTTCACATCCAGCCCGTATAAAAAGTCCTGAACATCCAGTAGCCGGATCGTTAATTACTATTCCAGACGATCCGAGGACCGGTAACGCGAACATCGTGGCAAATTAATCCCGCGATGCATATCGACGCATCCGTCAAACAGGGAGATATCGGCGAGACGACGCGACGGCCGTCGGGGAACGTGAGAATCGATCGGGCGGCCTGGATCGTTCCAGATTGATCGGTCGAGCCGCTACCAACGGCTCGATACTAGATCGAATCGGCGTCGATCTCGGCCGGCGCAGAGTTCGCGAGCGTGTCGGATCATTACGCAGCTCGGATCCATTCATCAAACCGATCAGATCCGTCTCGCGGGGTTAAAGAGGCGTACCGATCGATGCATCATGATCGCGCCGTGATTTTTCCAGGAGCACGGTGATCTAGCTAGCTCGCTACAGTAATGTCTCCCTAACTGACGCTCAGATTGTCTACTAAAATGGATAATTTGGGAAGAGGAGATACGATTATTCGAGTCTCGCCCTCGTTTTTATAGTTGTTGAGAATCGGTAATTATAAAAACAAGGCGCAAGACTTATATTAATCGTATCTCCTCTTTCCAAATTGTCCATTTTTTCCACAATAGCTCGCTACAGTAATGTCTCCCTAACTGACGCGCAGATTGTCCAGAAAAATTGACAATTTGGGAAGAGGAGATACGATTATTCGAGTCTCGCCCTCGTTTTTATAATTGTTGAGAATCGATAATTATAAAAACAAGGCGCAAGACTTATATTAATCGTATTTCCTCTTTCCAAATTGTCCATTTTTCCCAAAATAGCTCGCTACAGTAATGTCTCCCTAACTGACGCTCAGATTGTTCAGAAAAATGGACATCTTTTTTTATAGATGTTGACAATTCGTAACTCTAAAAACGAACCGCAAGGCTCGAATAATCGTGTCTCCTCTTCCCAAATTGTCAATTTTTCTGGATAATCTGCGCGTCAGTTAGGGAGACATTAGTGTACATATAAATTCCAGAATATCTGCTCCATAAAAGCACTTTATTTTCAATAGGAATAAATATTCTCTTAATTGAATGATATGAGTACAGTATGTCTAATTCGCGCTCAGATTGCGCACTAAAATGAACAATTTGGGAAAAAGAGATACGATTATTCGAATAATCGTGACTTCTCTCCCTAATTGTCCATTTTCATTTCCAACCTGAGCTTTAATTAGGTCGAATTCACTGCACTAACAGAATTTCTTCAGGAACGGGAAGTACCGTACATTAAAATGCCTGCTTAAAACAGTAGCAAAGAACCCGAGAGCATACGAATAATAGCAAAAAATGGATGCTCGGCGACTATCGGAGATCTTATCGCTTAATTGCAACGCGAAACAAGCGTCTCCCTAGCACATCGGCGGAGGGGCCCGCAACATCTGCCGCCACCTAACACGCGATCATTACGTTCGATTACTCAAGGCCCTTCGCAGTCGCCTAATCTTTCTTCTCGCGAGGGGCTGCCTCGGATCGATCGTCCCGCGCGATTCAGCGCGCCCGAAAATCGAGCATATCCGCCGAAACTCCGACTGGTTCGCGGTCGCTAGACGCGGCCGCAAGTCACGCTAATTGATTCAGGGTGTCGAAGAGAGTCGGGCGAACAGCGCCCCGTTCGTCGACGCGCCCGACGATCGTGTTTCCCGCGATCAAAGGGTGTATCGAGAGATTAATAGAAAACCAGCCTCGGATCTCTGTCTATCAGCGGCTGTATATCTCGCTAGCTCGCACGCTCGCCGAACAGGATCATCCTTGATTCCGCATGATCGGCTGTACTACTTCTGGATGATCGTCGCCGGTGGCTGAGCCGGTATTAAATTCTATCGCTTCCACGTGGAGGGGGCGAGGAGGGGGGGACCCATCGAAAAATCGAACCGGCTAGAAACTCGAGGAACGGCGGCGTGCTCGGTCAAGCGGGAAATGATCTAGCCGGGACACTCTCACGATAGGCCAACTCGCGCGTGACTCCTCGAAATCATTTCAATTTCGTTCGTCGCCGTGTAAACCGAACGAGAATCGCCCGGTGGAGGGGGATGCCTGGTTACTACACACATGCACACACATTTATACACACATACGTACGGGTTTACGGGTTACGCGGGTGTTGGTCGTACATTTCGTTTCTGGTTTCCCGTTCGGGGACGCGGGCCGCTCGGCGTCGATTCTCCCACGATCCGCGGGATTGGAGAACGCGCGCGCGCGCGATAGATCGAGACGGCGGGGAATCTAAGGAAAAGCCCCGCGACACGATCCATGCCACACGTATAATAGATATAGGTGGGATACGATGGGAAATAGGAACTAGGTTGGGCCGAAGCAGCGATAAAGCCTCGCAGATACGGATGGTAATGAGAACCGGCGCGCGGGCTCGTGACTCGACCCGGTAACAATAGGGTTGCACCCGGGGCAGAACGTCGGGGAAAAAAGGTTTTAACGGCCGGGCTTATGGAGTAAAGTCCATCACACGTTCCATACACACACACATACACAACACATACCGGGCGCACGTGTACGTGCACAGCCAGGAAACGTTCGCGTTCGCGTTCACGTTCGCGTTCATGTTCCACGTCCGTGTCCGTGTCCGTGTCAGCGCTCGCGTTCGCGTTTACGTGTGGCCATGCCGACTGAATCTGGATCGCGAATATTGTTCGCATATGGCTGGGACACAATGGCGAAGCCAGCCGGCCGGCCGGCTCGTGATAACAGCTGCTCCATCGAGTAGGATGCCTGCTCCGTTCCGATCTTACGAAAGATCACGGGCGTGAGCGTGTGCGGCCCGAGCGCGGCCCGAGTGCGAACCGAGCGACGAACTACCTACAACTCGGTCACCCGGAACTTACGTGTACATATACAAAAGCGATATGTACATACATACACACACACACACGCACACAGAGAGAGAGAGAGAGAGAGAGAGAGAATCGCTCGAGAGAGAGAGATAATCGCTCGAGAGAGAGAGAGAGAGAGAGAGAATCGCTCGAGAAAGAGAGAGAATCGCTCGAGAGAGAGAGAGAGAGAGAGAGAGAATCGCTCGAGAGAGAGAGAGAGAGAATCGCTCGAGAGAGAGAAAGAGAGAGAAAGAGAGAGAATCGCTCGAGAGAGAGAAAGACAGAGAGAGAGAGAGAATCGCTCGAGAAAGAGAGAGAGAAAGAGAATCGCTCGCTCGAGAGAGAGAGAGAGAGAGAATTGCTCAAGAGAGAGAGAGAGAGAGAGAGAGCGCGCACGCGCGCGCGCTGGCTAATTTATG